GCGAAAGGTGTGGAGCCCTCTTTCTTCTCTCTCAAATCAATGGTGGATCTTGTCCCTCTCACACTCGCACCCTTGCAGATCCCCGACGACGGTGGCGAGCAGCGGCGACGGGTGCTCCTCCACGCACGGTGGCGAGCAGCGGCGTGGCCCGTTCGACGCGGATCCACGGCGGGGCGGCCCCAACCCGCCGCGACGACACGGATCCACGGAGGGGCGGCCCCAACCCGCCGCGACGTCGCGGATCCACGGCGGGGCGTCGTCTCCCTCCCACCCAATCGACGGCGGCGCAGATCCGGTGGGCATGGCGCCCACCCCGGCCCTTCCTCTCCCTCCGGCGGTGCGGCGGGTTGGAGCAACGGCGGATCCAATCGACGGCGGTGGATCGACGGCGGCGGCGGGATCTAGGTTCAGTGCGGCCCGGATCCAAGCCCGTGTGGGCTTTTTTTCTTTTTTTTTGTTTTCCCTGAACGATTTGCCGAGGCGGGCGTTCTTATGTGGCCGTCGCGGTAAATCGATTAACCGCGGCGGGCAAAGCTGTCCGCCGCGGGAAGCCACGATTTACCGTGGCCTTTCTGCGGCGGCGGACCGGTTTGCCCGCCGCAGGAAACCCAAAACGTCCGACACGGATAAATATTATGTAGTAGTGCACATACGTAGACAATGGCCAACACCAGCAACGCCCATAATTATAATGGCATGTTTCAGAATACCCAAATTGTAATGACATTTATCCAACTTCGAAGAATTGTAATGGCTTCTATAAAAAAAACCATCTTTATTTAGGACAGAGCGAGTAGTCATTTTGTCCGAGCTTCCCAAGGCGATTTTCAATCTTACAAAAGTCGGCATTTGCTAAGTAGGACAAAGTGACTAACACATACTCCGTAGCACGACATCCGCATGTGTAGTTGAAGATTCAATGGTGATGGACATTAGATGGCATGACCATGATCTGTGGCAAATTAAGTTTATTTCGGTTAATTCCCTCAAAAAAAAGTTTATTTCCGTTAAAAAGCTGAGGCCGGTACAAAACACACACACACACGCGGGAGCATCCCTACGTGTACATGCGCGTGGGTCGGAAAAGGCGGTGGTCCACGGCTCCGATCCACGCACGCACGTACCCGGCCGAACGGCCGAACCAACACGCCACGACCGGGCGGCTCCGGTGGAAGCAGCACGTACGCCAGCCTAACAGCCAGCAGAGACCTACCCCAACAAACTCGCGCGAACCTTTGCGCCGAGAGCATTATTGTGCTGTGCGCCTGTGCCAGTGCAGCATGCTGCATCAAATCCGGCCGGCCCGAAAGCACCGACCGACCGATCCATCACGGATTCATCACGTCTATCTCCATATATAGCACACGTAGGCAGCATTAATCTCAGCTGCATGCAGATATTGGATCAAATCGAAGAGTGAAATGAAGTGAAAGCTGTAGATCCGTTTTACCTGTATATGCAATCTCGGTCACATCCAAGTAAAGAAACGTAGTGAAAATGTTGTCCATCGAAAGCCACATAGACTTAATCTGTTCATCGTCATTTTAATCATCGACACGTAGGTACGTCCGTACAGAAACAGAACGAGGGAGTTGGATCCGCACATACATATACACCTAAAAATCAACAGTACGGGGGCGCAATCGATGGATCAGGTTCAGGATCAGTGCGTGGCGACGAGCTGCGCGCCGCGGACGGCGAGCGCGGCGAGCGGGCCGATGGCGAGGGAGTTGATGTAGGTGCAGGGCTCGGTGTAGGAGGAGTTGCCGCGCTTGTCCACGAACCCGTCGTTCTTGTCGGGCCCGCCCACGATGGCGCCCGTGAGCTCGTTGGGGTTGGGCTTGTCGGGCGCCATCCACTCCCCGAAGCTGAGCCCGCAGTTGACGTCGGTGCCGGGGGCCAGCACGGGGGTGGAGGCCCCCCGGTGGTGCGGCTGCGTGGGCGAGTTGGCGCCGAAGCCCACCACGTAGGAGCTGTGCCGCGGGTTGGCGCCCAGCAGGTAGTCCATCTGCTGCCGCGCGAACTCCCGCAGCCGCGCGGGCGCCACGGGCTGGTTCCCGCACATGACGGACTGCCCCGTCCGCAGCAGCAGGTCGGAGTAGACCACGAAGAGGAACGACGTGCTGGTGACGTACTGCGTGTTGGCGCCGTCCCGGAGGTGGATCACGCCGCCCGGGGTGATGAACACCTGGTGGAACGCCGTGTCGGGGAGCACCGCGCACACGAAGTTGTCCGCCTGCACCTTGAAGTTCTGCGCGCCGCCGCCGGAGGTCATGTTGAACTCGGCAAGGAGCACCTGCGCGCCGGGGAACTTGAGGTCCCAGCTGAATTCGGCCACGCTCGACGAGATGGCCTCGTGGGCGATGAAGTCCGCGTACACCTGACGCTTGGTCGCCAGGTAAAGCCACGTCGCAGCCCACAGCAGCTCGTCGTTGTAGCCCGAGTAGGAGCAGTAGAAGGGGCACTCGCCGTCGTAGCTGCCCTGGTGGGCCTTGGCGAACAGGAACAGCTGTTGCATTGGGCCGGACAAAACAGATAGATGTGCACGGGTCTGCTGGATTCTTGATGGAATGGGTGTACAGAAGAAAGAGCCTGCATGCTAACCAGCTTGGCCTTGTTGAGGAGCGCGCGCGAGTACTTCTTGTCGTTGCGGAACACCATGGAGGAGGCGGCGAAGGCGGCGGCCGTCTCGGCGGCGATCTCCGTCCCGGGCGTCTTCTCGTCGATCTCGTACAGCGTCCGCGGCGCCTTCATGTTCTCCGGCCGCACCCAGCACTGGTGGTCCAAGTTGGGGTCGCCGACCTGACATAAAAAAGATGGAGGATTTCCGCCGTCGAACTCACGATCGATTAAACACGCACGGACAGACGCCGGCGGCTCACCTGCACCCACAGCTTGTTCTTCCTGGCGGCGCATTTGAGCAGGTAGTCGGTGCCCCACCTGATGGCCTCGTGCACGTGCTCCAGCTCCTTGGTCGACTCCAGCTCGGGCTTGAACGCCAGCGCCGTCCACGCGAGCGTGGTCACCGTGAACGCCAGCGGCAGCCCGTACTTGACGTTGTCGCCGGCGTCGTAGTATCCGCCGGTGAGATCCACCTGCTCGATCGCGTCGATTGATCGATCGGGCACACATTAAGCTCTTGTTAGTGCCATACCGCTATATATGGCAGGATATATTACATGAATACGGAGATACAGTAAATCTGCTGTATCTTTTTTATCCGTTCGGACGGAACTGATCATTTCAATCACATTATACATGTCAGTTTCGCATCTGCATCCATGAAGGGACGACCAATGTCCAAGAAGAAAATGGAGAAAGAAGAAGACGATGGACACGCGTCATATCATCGTACATTGGCGAGCTTGCCGTCGTCGAGTGCGGAGTCGCCGCGCCACTTGACGCGGTTGTTGGGCGGCAGCTTCCCGGAGCGCTGCGCCTCGAGGAATATGATGGTCTTGGTGAGGGCATCCTTGTAGTCGAAGCCGGCGGCGGCCAGCGCAGGGTGCAGGGCGTCGCCGGCCAGCACCAGCGCCGCGAGGGCCAGGGCGACGTGGGCGCGCATGCTGCTGCCGTGGCTCAGTGCGCGCATGGCGGAACGACGCGAGAGGCGAGCACCGGGCACCTGGGGGATATGGGGCACGCGAACTGGGAGGCGACGGAAAAGGAAGGGACGCGCTTGGATTCAGGAGGGGCACCCACCACCCAGGCGGTTTGCGAGGTGTTCGGCCCACAACGTTTCGGCTACACCACACTAACAGGCTAACAGCTCTGTGCTCAGCCCGTCATGAAATGGTGGAAGTGGTGGGTCTTGGTTGTGTGATGCGGTTGAGGAATGAGGAAGGTGTTTCCACTTTCCAGACCCAGGTGACCGTTGCTCCTGAATCGTGACGGTTAATGCAGCAGTAGAACCTTTCTTTGCATGCTGTTAAGTTGCCAAAATGAGATGCCCTCCTAATCAAATGCACTAAATTTGCCAGCAAAATCATTTGTGTTGCAAGTCTCAGGTGCTCCAACACAAATAGTAAGTGCGGGTGCCAAACAGCAAAGAACCAACGCCACACACACATAAAAAGGGGTAAATCGATGTAATCTCCTGGGGTAATAATTCAGTGATTATTAAGAGCCCCGCGAGCTGTTAACTTGCTGAAATTCCCTTGTACAGCACCTAGCTTGCTGTTTTCAACTTCCAGTCAGAACAGACGTAAAGACACAAGCACCCTACCCACTACGAGACGAGTATCAGCAACTTTCAGGCACACGCCATCTATATTCCAGCTTTGCCAAATACAGATCGGCGGATCATCAGTATATAAAAAAAAAGGAGAACAATCAATCTGTAGGAACAAAGCTGAACCCCGTCATTTGTGACTTTGGGGGTAGAGAAACATCCTCTTGTTGTACAACTTGTTACTGTATCATTTGTACATGACACAGTGCGCCAGCCGGCCAGGAAATGGCAAGATGCCAAACCGTATGAAAAGCATGGAGGCATTTGCCAAGGATGCTAGGCCTCTGTTTGTTGAAACTTTTTGCCTGTTTATTACTTACGAACTGACTGTCTACCACTATAAACACAATAGATCCTCTCTTGGCTTCCTTTCTATTTATATCTCCTCTCCTTGTATAGATGAATGAAATAATTCCAAGTTCATCGATTTAGTTTTCCTGTTTTTCTAGCATCTTCTTATGAGTCCAGCCACATTTTGCGCAATGTCTTGTTTGGTCTCCACTGAAACAGGGGGATCACCAATGTACATATCGAAGAAGGCTCCTGTTCATTCATAAATACATGATTTAATTTTCCACAACGGCAAAGCCGAATTTCATTACTTGATAGTAACGAAATTACAAGAGTTGACACTCTGACTTACTGCAAAGATCTTTGCTCTGGACAGTGCCAATTTGTTTACCATCAACTGCACACGGATGTTTTTAGTCAAGACATAGTAGTGGAGGCAAGAAACTAAAGCATGTGGAAAGCAATAAGCTATATGGTACTAACTTTCAGTTATTAGCTGGCCATCAGATGTCTGCCGGAAGTCAATCTTTGTACCCTGCAGTTGCATTGACTTTTAACTTCACACCAAATGCACCAAGTTACGCAGCCCAGATATAGCATAGAAACTTACAGCAGGTATACGAATGTCTTCACTAAAACAGGAACCAAATGTCTTCAAGCAATTATAATCAGTATTAGGATTCATCTGGTTCAATAAAGTATACACAAAAAGCTCACTTAGGCCTATTATTGGCTAGGAAAGTATCAAATAATTGCTGAATAAACAGCAAATACCTTTTGTAACCGGAAGCCAAGAGACTTCTCAAATGCACTGGAGACCATGTTGAGACAAATGATTAACTTCAACTTGCATATAGATACTAACATATTTGAACCAAATATAAAGAAAAGAATGCTTACTCTCGAACTGTGCCAATGCTGAGGCCATTGTAGCTTACTACTAGCCTAACAGTCATATCAATATTTTCCCTGGAAAAGATTGAAAGTTTGTTAGCATCAAAGGCAATAGGATGCACATAAGGGAAAAAATGGTGGGAAAATTTGCAGTGTCAGATCCTACGCAGCATCAGAAGCTCACAAAATAAATAATATTATAAATGTTTAAATGGTTATCAAACAATTGCAGGTCTGGAGAAGTGCTCTATACATAACACACTTTTCATTTTTTAATGATACCAACATTTCCTAGCATTTTTTTAATGCGTGCCTAAGCTTACACGATTGTTTACGCGTAAAGGGCAGGCTGGCTAGGTAATGGACAGAATTTTTGGGAAGGTCTTTAATAACAGAATTCGTGAAGACGCATAAATGATCAATAGGCATTGCACACCTCAGAAGATCTTCATAGAAATCTGGGTGATCCTTCAACTCAGCTTCTGGAATACAAGCGTACTTTGGACCCAGCTTCTTGCAAACAGAATCAGGTTGTATATCTGAGAATGTCAATATAACATAATGAGTAACCAAAAGACAATAATTAAGCAGTAACTACCGGTTAGCAATCATGGTTTAAAATAGCGGGCTATTGAAAATAGCGGCAACTTTTTTTCAGCAGCTATGAAGCTTTAGCGGCATTATGACAGATAGCGTTTTGATAAAAAAAAACATGGAAAACACTAGTAATTGATGCAAAAAAACATGCAAAATATGAAATCCATTGTCATCATCTTCTAGAATATCTAGAACTTGCTTCTCAATGGGCTCCCTTGCCTTATTCTCTCTTCTATGCTTCAGCCTGGAGTTAAATTTTACGTACACGAGGTCACTCATCCTGTCATGAAGCATTCTGTTCCTTCTCTTTGAGTGAACCTAAAATAGCGCCGCTATTTGAACGCTGAAGCTATGCAACTTAGCGGCGCTATAGCGTGCAACAGCGGTCAAAGTTGGCATACCGGCAAAAATAGGAATAGCTTAGCGTCAGGTCTCTCCCACCGCTATAGCCCGCTATTTTTTTTTTCCATGTTAGCAATTCATAAATCATAAAAACAGTAAACACGAAAAAAGTTACTTTACTCACATAAGCCAAAGGCATAAAGATTCAGATTTTTAACCCTCATTATCCGCATGCTTCTGAAACCCATTCCAACAAGGACCTGCCAATTTAACCATCAGATGAATGTATCAAGTGGGGCAGTGTACCTAGAAAGCATCAACATTATAGATATTTTGTAGAGCATTGTGATGTTCATCATATGCAAATAAGGGAAAAAATATTGGCCCATAAAACAAAAATTCACAGAAGCAAGCTTGAAAAAGGACCTCTGTAGTCAGATTGGAATTGTCTTCAAGTAGAGTGGAGAACTTGATGCCAGTTTTCGGTTCCGTTAAATCCTCTGGTAAGAGTACTCTTGGCACAGCAGCACACGCACAACCTGGACGGCTTTCCTCTGAATAAGACTGTTCAGCAGGTTCTTGGATGTGTCCACCATCTTTTCTTAGTGCCATTGACTCAGCCAGCATCTTTGGCGATCTTGTACACGGATAAAACAAAATAACAAAAAAGTTTAAAAAACAAATGGCGAAAGTAAGTCGTGTCAGCTCAGAAAATAGCATGTGGTGAACTCATACATGTTTTCAAATGGTGGTATTACAGTAGCAGCAGCCAGCATAAGGATGCTGCAGGCATGTCGCTCCTCCACCTCCGTCCACAGGCGTCCACAAGTTGCGCTTGCAAGCCTCGCTAAAAGCATTTGTACAGCATGCTCTTCTCTTAATTGTGAACCAAACTGCAATCCAGGTAAATGCTGCAAGCAAGAGGTCACTTGCTTTATGTGTGACCGACAAGCTCTTGAACTTGAGCCTGCAGCAGCTGATAGCCTTTGGAATAACTTAGGATTCGATGCTCTAGAAAACCAGAAATAGAAAGCTCCAGCAAACTTGTTGAAACTGCTGAATGCTTCCTGAACTGCTCCACTCCCCGTAGCACATATACGCCTTGGATGTTGAAATGAACACTCAACTAAGTTTCCAACTTGTGGTATCAATCCTAACCCAATTTCATGAGATACTGGAGAGTCTATTGGGAACTTGGGGAGGTAAGCTCCATTATGATCAAGTTTGGAGAAAATAGACCAGTCTTTCATAATGAAATCACTTGCTTCCTTAGACGCAGTCCGGGAGTTTAATAAGAGTGAAACTTTGCTGAATCTGTCAATTGGAGCAACAGAAGTGGATCAGGAAACAAAGATGGTAATATGTCAATTGCATGCATGCTTACACAGATTTCATTTTTATTTTATTGCCTGGACATAATAACAATTTTACAGCAGAATTTGCATGTAGACCTTAGCAGCACTATTTATTCGTCTCACAAACACTTAGATCAATGCATATGAAAAGATACTAAAAGATATCACGTCAAAATTGCAAAATAAAAAGTAGAGCTTCTCAAACTAGATCCTAAAATGCTCTTCTCAAACTATCTCCTGAAAAAACAAATGGACAACCCCACGACATCAAGGTAAACAAAGCAAAACAGTGATGACCTATCTGCTATATAAGATGTTCTAACTGGATCAAAATTGATACCTCGCAGAAACGAGCCTGACAGGGCACCCAAAACCTCACACCGTTTTACAGAAAATCAACAAAGGCCCGAGTCCCTGACCCCAAACATCCCAAATTAACACCAGAACGTCACGATATCGCTATTGCCCCCAGGATTCACATTCACACAGCACCAACCCCCAGAGGCCGCCAATAGTAACGCCGCCCAGCCTCACTGCGCAGCACCACCAGACAGCCAAATGCCCAAATCCCAAAACAAACTCCATCTTCCCCACGCACGCCCGCAACAGATCCCGCATTCGCTGCCCGAACCGCGATTCCACAAACTTAAAGCGCCGAACCTGACCTGTCCGTCCCTCGGGATCGCGCGGTGGCTGATGGTGACCGTCGTGCTCGTGCCGCGCCGCCTCGCGCCGGCTGCGGCGGTGCTGGAGACGAGGCCTGGGGCTCCGCGCCTCCCTTCCCCGGGCGGTGTGGCGTGTCGTGGAGTGCCGGGCGCTTCCTCGCCGGATTCGGGAGCAAATCCAATTCCAAGGGAACGGGGGAGGTGAAACTAGGCCGGAAGCAAGCGGCTTGGTGGCGGTTTCGTATTAAAAACTCGGGCCGCGGCCGTTGCCTGCCACCGTCGCCACGTCGGCGCTCTCCGCCCGTGACCGTGAGAGAGGGAGGGCAAGTGGGCAACCAAACCAACAACACGTTACACGTGCGCGCCTCTGATTTATGCCTGCTCGGGCTCCACTCTGATTTACGGCTTTGAAAGGGAGCGGGGCGTGATTAAAAAAAGGCCCCTTTTTTTTTTTTCTTGCCAGCCCTTTTACATTGGGTCTGTTCGCTGGTGGATGCTGGTGCTGGTTTGGGTTGGCTGGTACTGGTTTTTTTTAGAGAAAAACACTGTTGGCTGGCTGGTTTGGGCTGGCTGAAACCAACAAGCGAACAGGCTGATTATTGTTTTGCTGCTAAATGCTAGTACTTACTAGTATCCCTCGGTTTTTAAATATATAATCCTTTGTCTCTAAAAAATCATTTTATTTTGTCATAAGTCGGAACATCTTAGATCTGACCATACTTTTAAAAACTATCAAAATTTATTATATGAAATAAGTATTATTATAATTTTTGTGAAGGGAACGAAGAATTATTAGATTCATCATGAAATATGGTTCCATAGCATGTATGTCTGGTGACATTTAACAATTTTTATCTATATAAACTTGGGCATTTGATTTAAGAAAAATTAAATGGCTTTCTTATAGAAGCCAAGGGAGTAACGTCTATTAGGACAAACTAATAAGTTCAAGATGTCTATTTATTATTACAGAGGGAAGTATTTGGTGGCTCTAGTGAGACCTATTTTCGATATCAAATCGTGTAATGAACCTACCAAATGTGATTTCAGTTGCCACAACCCTAAACGATGAATTAGCAATGAATTGGACGTATTCAACTCGTTATGTTTTAGGACCTGCCTACCTTGAAAGTGTGTGTTTGTATTCCTTTTTCTGGTTTTATTTTATTCCAGGGTTTTAATGACGTTATTATTTTAAGAGGTAGGTAATATGGCAGTTAATCATGAGATATCTTTAGTGACATCGTCAGCCCCGGTCATTTGGAAGGGGTACATGTGTTGTGTTGTGTGTATGTCCACGTTCATATGGGTGAGTATGGGTGCATTGCATTTGATCATCAGTATTTTTGACTAGCGGGGAAAAAATCAAATTAGCACTAAATGAATGTAAACACACATCCATATATACCCGAATATGGAGAATGTTTGGTGACCTGGGTGCAAATAGTCCCGATTGTCGGAGAGAAAAGGAATCCAGGCCGGGGGAATCGCAGAATATGCTGCCGAGAGCGACGGGCACCGAGAGACGGCGAGACCCCGCCGGCGCCCAGATCGTTCTAGCGTGGAGCGGCTGCTGGCCGCCGATCCTGATGCTTTCGTCGCGGCCCCTACCGCCGTCCACGGACGTTGACGCACCCTGCCGGCGCCACGGCCCGGCGGCCAACCAAGCTTTTCGGCCTGGTCGCTTGTTGGTTTCAGCCAGCCCAAATCAGTCAGCCAACAGTGTTTTCCTCTTAAAAAACCAGCACCAGCCAGTCCAAACCAGCACCAGCCCCAACCAGCGAACAGGCCCTTTAACCGTCTCGCTTGACGTTTCCGGCGCCAAATTAACCCCAACACGGCGACCAACCAGAGCCCAGACTCTAGGGCACGCGTCAACCCATGACACCGGCAGAAAGGTACTGCTACCAGTAAGATTAGCAAGCAAGCATGGCAATTGGCAAACACGTTGGAGGAGACCTGGCCACGACTTTGCGCCTCTGCCTTTTTGCAAAAAAAAGAGGGACGATTCGCGCATGGACGCATGGTGGGGGTGGGGGTGGACCAGGCCATGACATGACTCGGCGGCAATCCAGAACTGTCTCTCCACATGTGGTATCGGCTTGTGGCCTTTTGGTTGGGTCTGGGTGGGCACCGGCAAACTGAGCAGCAGAACGGGATGGATTTAGCGTGCGGACTCACCCTATTCTCCATCTCACGTCGCCCAACCAACAGTGGGCACCGATCATCAGCCGACTCGGCGGAAAATACAGTAGTTCTTGTGGTCGCAGCGTGTGGAACCACCGATTCTTCTTGGGAGTTGGGACGACCGACGGGGCCGGCGGCCGGCCTGAGGGACTCGATGTTTTTTCACGGACTGGGCGGCGCGCGTCGGCAGGGAGCACTGGAGCTGGCTCCGTGCCTCGTGGTGTGAGAGCGAGATGTCGTGAGGGTGATGGCTCTCCCTCTCCATCTGCCGGTTTGGTTGCCGCCCACAGCCACATGGAGTGCTTGCTTACCGTCTTGCAGCGCCCACATGCCTACCGCACCAGCTTAAGCAAAGGCTACGGCATCATTCTTGCTCGTCTCGTGAGTCGTACTTTCTCAGTGAATAAACAGCATTTTTCTTTCGTAACAAATCAGTTTAATTACTTTTAACAGCGACATATATATATATATATATATATATGATGATACATGTGTGTGATGTGATCCCCACCAGATGCGATGGATTATCTCTTATATATATATATACTATATACAACTAAAACATTTAGATTCCGATCGTTCACAGGCGTGCGATGGCTCGCTCGCTCCCAAACTTCTGGGGCATCGCGCACGATCCCCGCGTGGTGGACCCGGACGTCTGAATCACTGTCCCACTCGCTCGCTTCCCCAGGCGCACGCTCCCCCGCGCGTGGACCAACGCTCCCTCCCCTCGCGAGATGCCGCCTTCAATCGCGCTCCTTCCTCTTGCCACGACCAATCACGCTTCCTCCTCCCTTTCCCTCAGCCCCGCGGTCGCCCACGCCACCGCCTCCTCTTCCTCCAGTCCGCTCGTCGCACAGGCGCCGCGTCTACCACGCCGTCCTCACCCGCGCTCGCCCACGCCACCGCCTCCTCACTCCCTGCCGCGCCGCAAGCCCGTGCCACGGAGGAGCGCCGTGGGATTCACCTCTCGTCCGCGACCTCAACTTCTGCCTCTGCGTCCCACGGAGGATCTGGTTTATACCACCTCGACAACGATCCCTTCTCCGCACATCTGGTTTTTCCTCGCCGCCCTATCCCGAGCCATCAACCTGGTGCCTGCTGCCGCGGGTAGCAGCCAGCCGCTCCCGATAGAAGATGCTGCCGTCGCCGGCCTGTTCGTCGGGGGAGAGCACGCGCGGCCGCCCTGCCTAGCGCCTGGGCTCCCCGGCACCCCGCCTCCACGAGCCCCGTGCTCGCATCGTCCCCTCTTTTTCCCTCTCCCCATTCCCTGCCTTCTCCTCCGCTTGGTCGAAGCCGCTGCCGCCGCCTGCTCCTCGATCCGTTCGCGTCGTGAACTCTTCCTCCCTCCGTATACCACGGTGAGCCGTAACCCAAAGCCTGACCTCCTCGTTGACGGTCGTCGTGACCTGAAGCCCCAAGCCCCCAACGCAAGATCCCCTGTTCCTCCCCTCCGCTCTCCATTGCTCCTCTCTCCTTTTCTCCCGGTCATCTTCCTCCTCTGTACTCCTTCAGTCCTTCCTCCTCTGTATAAATTTCATAGGCATATTATTAAATCCTTCTCTGCCTTAGTGTCGTCTTCTCTGTAGGTACTTGGTATGTAGTTGTGTTGCATCTACAGACTACGTACGTCTTTGTGGATATAATATGCCTCTTAAATCTTCAATTGTGATTCATTGATTCATTGTCCGTTGGTGTGGTGTTGCATATACAGATTACATCAAGGCATGAAGATTAACTTTAATTTGGTCACCGCCTAGCGCCTTTTCTAATGGCTCTGATTCTTAAAGGGTGACATCATGATGACGTCATATAGTCTCTTTTTCCTATAGTAATAAATAAAGAAAACTAGAAATACAATTCCAGTATACACTTATACAGAACCGATATCCATGGCCGTGAAACCCAATAACCAGCAGCCGGCAGCCGTATGGCCGGCGGCCGCCTACAGCTGCGAGCACCCAGCAGCGAGGGACGTGTATTTGATTCTAGAGATTACTCGTTCTGCAGCCCATGTGCAATTTCATGTGATTCTTCTGTACAGTAGACCATAAACGAGGATATATGCATGGTTCTATATATTGAATACTTAATTAGCATTACACCATGGTAGCGACAAACTCCTCAATGAGTAGTACACTGCATATATATGCCTCAAAGGGTGAAGAGTATTTAACCCTTCAGTGCACCAATGTTTTGCAATATGCCTCAAAGGGATCAGAGTGTCCTACTGGCCTTCGTCTTTTTTATAGGACTGGGATTATAGGATACTACAAATGAATGGATCTCAGTGTTGATCCAGTGCACAGATTTCCCCCCCTTTTTGGCCTGGGATTTCAGTTGTTTATAGGAAAGAAAATAGTATATACTTGTGAAGTGTGGACCGTTCATTCATTCAGCCATATAATACTTTGGGCGTCGTTGATGAGGGGCCCAAGACTTGTATCGTTTTCCCTTCTCGAATTGGAAGGTGGGTGCAACATTCATTGAACCTGGCCCAAAGGCCTCAAAACCGGGAAGGAGGAACGGGAGCTCTCACAAACGGCGCAAAACAGTCGGATTCCATCAGATGTGCTGTTGTGATTTTTTTGGCGACATCTTCGACCTCAGAAGAGAGAAGGGAACAAGCCTACCTCCAATTAACCTCATACTACCTCCGTCCACAAAATAACAATTCTAGATATTGCCCTGTTCGTCTGATAAGCCATGGCTGAAAATACCGTTGGCTGATTTGTTGTGAGAGAAAAATACTGTTCGTTGACTGAAAAAGTACGGCTTATAAGCCAAACGAACAGGACGATATCCAAGTTGAAGTGTCTAAAGTTTGATCAAATCAAATATATAGATAAAAGTATTAATGCTTATGACATCAATATATATTATAAAAATATGTTTCATGACAAATGTAATAATGCCTATTTAGTATGCCAAATATTAATATTTTTATATAAATTAGGTTAAATTTAACATACTAAAACATAGTACCATTTCAGAATTATATCCTTTTGGGACCGAAAAAGTACAATAGTACCATACGGAATATGCAATGGTTCTGGACCTCTCTGGCTTTATGATTCATGACACTGCAGTACTTCGAACATGTCATTATACTCTCAATCTAAGCAGCAGCATCTACAAGATGCTTGTTAAGCGTATATATTTACTGCCGAGAGGGTACTATTACAAGTTCATCAGACAAAAGTTCGGTGCAATGAATATATTTCAACGCATAAAGAATATGGCAGCAGTTTTACACTTTCCATAAAACAAGAAACCTGGTGTAATGGCACAAGGTCACATCAGTCCATGAAGTAAAATTACACATTGGTACAACACAACATCAAAGGTTACATAAACAACACAGTGGTAAAATGTTACTCTAGCAGGACCACTGGGAATCAGATCTACTTATTCACCGTGTTCGGATGGTGCCCAGCATAGTAAATTTCGGATGGTTTCGGACGATTCAATAGTGTTATGTGAGGGAGAATAAGCTGAAACAAGCTGAAACAAGCGAGCAGTACACCAGCCGAACGCCCTGATTGCTGGTAACAAATCGAATTGCCTACCGGTACGCTGGTAGCTCATATGAGCCAAAACTTTTGTTCTATAATAAAGGGTTCATAATCACAAATATGTTTGTGTGGTGCCTGCAAAAAGATTATGAAGATTGCATGAGAATCTCACTTATGGTGGCAAGAACCAGATGAAACCATTTAGGGCAGGTGCAATATAGAGGGTATACCTATGACACCATGTATCACCTTTATCATGTCCCTTAGATTGCTCTATTCAGCCTGATAGAGAAGACAATGTGATGAGTATTTAGATTTGTACTAGGGCCTTGTTTAGATTGGGGTTAGGAATCAGTATTTGGCACTGTAGCACTTTCGTTTGTATTTGACAATTATTGTCCAATCATGGCCTAACTAGGCTCAAAAGATTCGTCTCGTAATTTACAATCAAACTGTGTAATTAGTTATTTTTTTATCTACATTTAATACACCATGCATGTGTCCAAAGATTTGATGTGATGGAGAGAGAGTGAAAAAACTTGCAATCTAAACAAGGCCTAGTATTTTAGTCATGCAAACATAATGGGAAAAAAATGATCCAATTTTTTAAAGGTGAACATAATTTAATTCTTGTAGACATACATTCAAAGATGGAAGACAACATATTCAATGCAATGCTAAGGCAAAAAATGAGATTAAAGATCCATCTGGAAATGCTACATTTGCAAAAAAAAAAAACTAATTACCTTTGGAGAATATGGGGCAAAAATGGCTTTGACGTCTTCAAACACCTCAGGAATTGGTTTTGCAGCATCAATCTGATAAAATGAAAAGTTACTATAGGGGCTAAAGTGAAAACATTGCAAAAAGAAAAGGCCATCAATTAATTGAAATGTGGACTATAATGGCCATTATCAAAGGAACACACACGATAGATCTAAAATATCCTTCTAACCTCACGTATTTTTTCTAATGTGCATCTTACTCTGGCTTTATTTCTACTGCATAATACATCACATATTTGCGTCATCGGAGTGCAATAGGAGTACCCCTGGCAAGATAAAAGTTCATCAATACCTTTTTAACCTTGTTCCTTGAGTTGTAATGCTCAATGACAGGCAGACTTGATTCAACAAAGGTTTTGAACCTTTTTTTGATAGTTTCAATGTTATCATCAACTCTTCCCTGCAAAGACAGTAAGAAATATTGGAAACAAGAATTTTGTGACAAAAACACAATTGGTTAACGATGAAGGAAACCTGATTGCGCCCCAACAGACGTCTCTCCATCTCTCCCTCGGAACAGTCAAAGAATAGCACAAACGCAGGAGAAATTTTGGTCTGAAGGAATGAGAAAGAATTAATAGTGTAAAAATTCATTTATAAGTAACTAAAAGTACGGAACAATAATTTCTTAAACTAACATGAGAACCGGAGAAATTTTGTGTACAAAAAAGAGGGCCTTACAACATTCTCAAAAGCTGCACGATTCTCCTTGTTCCTTGGAAATCCATCGATCAGGAATTTGTCATTTTCATTTTTTATCATTGCCTCCTGCAACAGCTTTATAGTCACCTCCGATGGAACAATCTTTCCCTCCTTTATCATGTTCTCGATCATGGTTCTGTGAAACATCAAGGAGCACCATAGATAGAGAACACACAAATGTCAAATGTGCCGCTCAACAAGACTGATCCTTTGTTTTCTCTAAGAAAAAAAGTCTGTTGAGAAGGAAAAGTAAATAAAAAGCATAAGTTATTAGCTTTCTTATAGAGGGAAAAACATACCCATTCTCAGAGCCAGATTTAATCTCTGCACGCAAAAGATCTCCAGCACTAAGATGGGTGAATCCAAAGTGCTCCACAATGTTGGCACACTGTGTGCCTTTTCCACTTCCAGGACCACCTATGTGTAAATTCTTGATCAGATGCAAAACAAAATTATCTATTTAAAGTGCACATAGTAGCCCCATATAACACATCAACTCATTTAAATTCAAAGCTGTTATAAGCTTGTTCTCTTCTATGGTAGGACACAAATAACCGAAAATTACTGAAGATAGAACAGATACCTAGAACAAATACAACTGTAACTTTCTTGCCACCCAACATGTTCTCAGTGACCTGCACATACAGCACATTTCTAAGACAAATCATAGTTTTTTAATAGCACAAGTCGTATGAAATGACAAGGACATCTCTTTAATGAAAACATGCAGGAAGCGCAATTTCGTTAAGGACATGGAGGTTGATTTGATTTCAAGAAGCATGAATCAGACAGGAAAATAAGGCAAGGCATATGTACTAACAAAATCAACTGAAATTTAGTTACAAAAATGCAAGGTTCAAGGGCACCAACTGTTGATGTAATAGAAATCTAGAAACTTAGAAACGCCTGACCTCTAAACCAAAGGGTTCAGCGATCTCAATTATATTTTGTTAATGAAAAGGTAAGATGCTGAACATTCTCAACGAACCTAGTGCTTTGCAGCAGAGCCAATCATTGAATAAATAGGGGATCGGAAACTTCAAGTAAATGAGTAACGCAAAGTACCTCCTCAGCCACAACTGCTGGAGTGGCATCCACAACTGTGCCCATGGCTCAAAGTTACCCTGCAGTTTGATTACAATTGGTATTGCATCTTTGTACAACAAAATTCCAAACTTGCACATATCAAATGCAAAAAAAAAGGAACCATTTCATAATAAGGGCAAAGCAAGACCACTTTTGTTTACCGAGAAATACAATGTTACATAATAGGGACCGGATAAATTATATCAACTAGGTTGTAACGACAGATTAGCTTATACGGATTGTCTCATGTTTGCAGCATTAGAAGTCAATCAGCTAAAATATTGATTCGCCACCAAGCAATTCAAGCGCAACCCATTCCATACATTCTATTGGGCACTAGAGTCTTAGGAGTGCAAAAGGTGCTGGCTTTATGAACTGAGAAAAAATAATACAGTGCCTCAATGAAGAAGGCATCCTAGGTGGGATCCGACAATGTTCTACCTTTACCAACAGATGCACTGATTCATGTCATTAACAATCAGAAGATCAAATAATCATAAGTCGCCACCAAGCAATTCAAGCGCAACCCATTCCATACATTCTATTGGGCACTAGAGTCTTAGGAGTGCAAAAGGTGCTGGCTTTATGAACTGAGAAAAAATAATACAGTGCCTCAATGAAGAAGGCATCCTAGGTGGGATCCGACAATGTTCTACCTTTACCAACAGATGCACTGATTCATGTCATTAACAATCAGAAGATCAAATAATCATAAGTCATAACCTGATCTGAACTCCCCTGATCTCGTGGCACCAGCTATTTTTGTATTATTCTGACAAACTCCCGCCAATTGCCTGGTCCAAGCTTCACAAGGCGACAAAGATCACACAACAGGAGCACCTGACGCACCCTTCTAGAAGCAGAAAATCAGGGGGCATCCCTATACTCTCCTTAGCGAAAGGCGGAACCACCTCTAGATCCGGCTCCAAACGGCCCATCTCTGGATCCCTACTGGCCAGATACGCAGCCTAAACTGCGAAATCAACTCATTCCAACCGAGATCCCCCTCCCCTCGCCCCGCGAGCAACGCAGATCGCACCCACAAGACTCGAGGGATCAATCAACCAACCAACGATCCATGGACGGAGAAGGTCGAACGCAATAAGCATTAGCAAAAAATGGTGGCGGGATCCGCGTCCGTACCTTGCGGGAGGCGCGCGAGATCTGGGAGCGCGGACGAGGGGGGCGTGGAACGAATCTGTGCGCTGGTCGCTAGGTGCGTGCGCTTCCCTCGGCCTTCGGGGGCGGGCGGGGGAGCGAGGTAGCCGTTATTAATACGCGCGCGTGCGGGTTCTCGGGTCCGGGCGGGGTGGGCTGACTGCTTCGAGGATCCGGCAACGCCAACGCGGCAAATGGTCGGTGGGGTGGTGGCGCTGCTGGTGACCGCCTGACCAGACACCAAGAGGCGTCGGCGCGGAGGGTGGAGACTGGAGAAGGGAGGGCGGAGATGGGAGGGAGGCGGGAGATGGGAGCGAACGGGGGAGGAAGGCGTGAAAGGAAAGCGACACGTTCCGTTCCGTTGCGTGACACTTACGGTTGGGGGTACCCAGGTGCCCAGATGGGCCCATCTAGATTTTTTTCCCCACCAGAAAAATGCAGGCCAGTTTTTTCGTACAAAAATCTATGCCGTCATTTCAGATTTCCAAATTCAAAGCAGAGATATATTTGGATGTTATTGTGCCACCATGACAACTCATGGTTTTGGCCTTTTGGGGGGAGAAGGACGGGCGCTTGGTTTTAAGCATCGACATTGAATGGTCTTCTGCCAGATTTTAGGTACCAGTTGACTTGGTGCTGCTTCCTTGTTTCGATTTCTTTGAAGTAGCATGGAGAATTGGTGGTCTTTTAACCTCAATTTTCTCTAAGGACAGCAAACAGAAGGGCATTTGGTCACCGTCACCAGGCTACAGATGGGACCCCACGTTATGCGATGTTCTACCACACAAATTGCAAGTCCATTGACGAAGAAATGGTGGGAGGATATTTACCAAAATATTCCCATGGAGATTCCTTAGTTGCTGTAATGATCTATCAGTGTTGGCTTTACGTCTCCACCTGGCACCTGCGTTGTGTGGGAAATGAGAGAAGCCATTGGCGAAGTATCTATTCTCCCAGCACTGAAAACTGTAGCCACAAGCCACAAAACGGAGACTTCGTCTTCCCCTGGAATCGAATTCTGTCCGTGCTAAATTGTCCGAACGTGCAGTCCACTGTTCACATCATTTATTCATCTCAGAACCAATTCCCAAACATCTCCATGTGGACGTGTCCATTCTAGACTATCGATGCAAATTCATCGCTGCCGTAGGACTCGTTGGAAGTAAACGCAACAACATAACCACTCGTCAGTCTTTAGGAAGTGGAATCCTATCCCAATCCTCCGATCCTCCGATCCTTAACCAGAGAAGGCCCTTAACCAGAGGAATATCGTATAATACAGAAGAAAGAGTCCGACAGAACAAACACAAACAAAAGACATACATAGAGGATACCAGAAGAAAGAGTCCGACAGAATACGAAAACACAAACAAATCAGAAAAAGAAAACTATGGTGGCAAACTGAAAACTGGGTTCAGGAGCGAGTGATCCATGAGCCATGAGCTTCTTCACCGGATATAGTGATATGAGTCTCGGAGATCCGAAGAGAAGCGAGGCCCAAGGGAGATGGGCAAGAAAAGATGGCCAGGTTGCGAGACCTATGAAAGAGACCGAATCGAGGAAGCAAGGGCACGGTGGGTCTAAGTCTGGGTTAGAACACACAAACTATATATATGGTTATTCAGATTTGAGCAAAAATACCTATGTTGCGTATTTGAGCTGGAGTTGGAGGGCGATCTTGTTCTTGTTCGTGTAAGATTCGTTCCCTAATGGATTTCCGGGTAGCTGCCTTTATTCAGTTAGTGAGTGATCCAAAAGCCATCCTTGTAACTGCAGCCCAACTCCAAGAATGACCATTCACTACACATTGCTATTTGCTGTTCTTGTCTAGCTGCCTCTGAACCAGTGCACCACCAGACAAGAATGACCTACCATGTTCATGATGAACACACCACCAGAAGTCAACCATGTTCATGATACTCAGAATCAACCACAGGAATATCATACTCTAATTTTTTTATGACGAGGAATACCATACTCTACACGATCAAACCTACGATCATATGTACATCAAACTACGCATATGCATCATCGAACAATCATGTGCCAATCTCGTACTCAGTCTCAGTTCAAATGGATCCAGACCGAGATGCTCTTCTCTATCCAAAATTTGTGCCGATCGTCTAGAATTCTAGTATTTCCTGAGATGACTGCCTTTAGTCAGTTGTCTTAGGTAAAATTCTGGAACCAGCTATAATACACCGAAGATGTACATGTTCCTCAGACACGGGAAATCAGGCCTCCTGCTCTTTGTATAAATGACCTCTAAACTTCGCAATGTTTTTCTGCAATTCGATGTTTGACACCCGTTCTGCCTCCAATGCACGTTCAAGCTGTTAAATATACTCAAAGATATGATAACGAGAACAAGGACAAATGCCATAAATACACAATAGCACTGCACCAAGAGTACCTTTGCTGCTCGAGCACTCCATTCACCGAGAATAGCTCTGAGCCTATCATTTTCTTCAACATACTGCATTGAACGTGTTTTATGGTAAAGTAATCAGTGCTTTTCAAGCAAATGCGAGATAAACCCAATCTGTCAGCACTCTATGGTAGACCCTTGAATCCTTGATTGCTAAACAACATACCTGGTTGTTGCTCAGACGGATACGCTGGATCTCTGAGTCCTTTTCATCGATCAAACCACGGGCAAGTTGAAGTTCGGAGTGCACTTGATCCATCTGCACGGTCAGCGCTGAATTACTGATTTACTTCTATCAAGAATTTTGGTTTTTTACATTCTCGCTCATCATCTAGTCATCTAATGCATATTCAGTTCACTTTTCACACTATAAAGAAATAACCCAAGCATGTCGACAGGCACATTTATTACATCTGCAAGCAGATCACTTAGTAGCTGAAACCACTGTAAGTAGTTACTGCAAGAAGTACAAAGTAGGCAGACACAACTCTTCTTGAGAACCTCCCTTACTAATTTACATAAGATGGCAGCCTGGCTTATGATAGTAATATAGCATTGCATCCCAAATCACTAGATACGCATGGTATCCAACTATCCATGTAAGTTATACTTTCTGAGGAATGTATAACATAGTAATAATAATTCAATAAACATAGTTACCTCAGCAGTGAGTGCTCGAAGTTCTTGATCACGAGTTGCTAAAAGATGGGCAAGATCAACCTGAAGATTAAAAGAAAAGCCACCATCTGAAACAGTTAGGGAGTTCCTTCTGTCTAAATCTGGAACCATCAAACTACTAGTCAATGAGATACAGCATGCAACATCATTGTGCAATGCACAGAGACAGAACCTGAGGAGTGGTTCCAGCAGTTCTCTGGTATTTGCTTAAGCATTCTTGCAAGCGGAGGACCTTTCAAGAAAAGAAACGAATTGTTAATCAACAAAAGGATTCAGCATGATGGAGAAGGCAAAAACAATACTTAAATTCCCTTCATGAAAGTTTTCATTATTGCTGCTTGGAAAATTTCAAACAAGGAAACAATCTAATCTTTTTAGAACAAGCAGCCAAGCTACACGTCCTGAAAAACAGTTTTATCAATATCACTCTCCTACAAGCTCATAGAGTAAAAGAATCTGCAAGACCTTCCCTGTTAGCTTTGGTACAAACCCTTCACTAATTTCTGTCTATTAACCTCTCCCTGTATAGTTTCTTGTGGTTTAATATACACAACCGGGCTTAACCCCATCCTCTAGAAAAGAAATATTATGAAAGCTGCAACCTTATGCATTATAGAGATGGTGTACATAACGAATGTGACCTTAAGTTTATTAGTATATTTGACTATCACAGCCTTCATCATCACATCATGCCCAGCGGCGGAACCAGAAATTTTGAGTAAGGGGGGCCGGCTAAACATGGTTGATCCCATCAAAATAT